CTTCACCAACCCTCCAGGTCCACTCTCCACGTGGCGGCCAGAATGATCTTTCTAGTGATCCTCTCAAACTGCAAACTGACCCCTGTTTAAACCTCGCAATCAAAACAAAAACGAAGACTCCTTAATCACAGGATGAAACCCCAAACCCTGAACTAGACCCAGGACTCGCTGGGAGATCTGGCCCCTGCCCACCTCGCTGGCTGTCTCGCGTCCCTCTCCCGCCCTCACTAGCTCCTCCAGAGCACTGAGCTCTTCCTAGGCTCAGGGTCTCGGCATGTGCCACTCTCTTTGTCCAAGCCTCCTCATTCTTTAGATCCCAACTGAAATGTCACATCCTCACAGAGGCGTTCCCAACCCCTCCCAGGTAACTCAGGACCGCTCCTTAGTTTCTCTCACTCGGAACGTGCTGTTCTTCTCCCTTCATACCACCTGCCAACATCTCCGAGCTTGTGTTTTCCTGTGCTGAGTTATTTAACCTCCGCCTCTCCCAGAGCCCAAATTCTCCATGCAAATAAGGACTGCAGTCACTCCTGTCCGTGGCTGTACCCCACACCCAGCCCTGGACCAGACATAAAAGTAGACACTTGACAAGTATTTGCAGAACAAATGAGTCTTTCATCTCGTCCTCATCATAGCCCCACTGCCAAGCTTTCTTTCATCTCTGGCCTTTGCATGAGTTGCTTCCTCTTCCTGGAAGGTTCTTTCCTTCCCCTCCCACCTAGGCTGATACACACATCACTTAAGATTAATCTCTCTGGAATCCATCCTTGGCCCCCTCATTTGAATTAGGGTTTCCCTCTGGGCCCCCTTAGCATCCTATGCATAACGCTCTATCCTAACACCTTCAAATTGCAAATTGCCAGCTAAACATGAGAGATTATTAACAATAATGATCTCCTCTGCCTCTCTCTGACCTCTCTACTGCAGCTCGCTCAAGGGCATCCACTCTCTGCCTTTCAAACCATTAGGAGCCCCATTTCCCATTCACTGGCTAAGCCCGCTCAAGTGCCCACTGTGTGTTTTCTTTCCGGCAGCACTGCGGAGGTAGGGAGGAGGGGAGCCGTATAGACACGGTTCTTCCGAGAGCGAGACAGAAGCAGGTGGAAGCATCAGAGGTGCTAAGCAACTGCCCAGACAGTCCCTGTCCTGGGTGCGTGTGGGTGCAGAGGCGGCTGGGGGCACAGGGGTGGGATGAGTGCGTTCACTTCTGCCCCCTCCATTGGAGCATCTGCTGAGGACAGGGCACGGTGGGGGAGGGGGCTGGGGGATACAGAGAAGTGAACCTTAATGGTGGACACATCCTGGATGTCACCTCGAGCATGGCTGTCAGTGTGCTTGGGGCACAGAGTTTATTGTGTCTGTCATCTGTCTTCCCACCCTGGGAGCAGCTGGAGGGGCCGAGGTTGGGCACAGCTGCCAGAGGAATCTCAGCCAAACCCAGTGGTCACTCTTCTGTCTCTCCCTTGCCGGGTCTCTCTGCTCCTTTGCACTGTGGCTCGTTCATTCCTTCCTGACACTCCCCACACTCAGTGGATCAAAGTGAGGTCCAGAGGCCACCTCTGTCAGCATCACCTGGGGGAGGACATGGATTTACAAAACACACAGTCCTGAGCTCCCGTCTACTGACTAAGGCTCCCTGGAGGTGGGACTCTAGAATCTGCACAGTGCACAATATGCACTGTGCCCACTCTGCTTGGCACACTCCAGTGTGGGAGCCCCACTGCTCCTGCTGCTTCCAGGATCAGCCCATCCCTCCTCCTTGGCCCTGGCTGCCTGCTCCTCCCTGAGATCCTTCGGGGGTTCTTTTCCTCTGCCCACCCTTTAAATGCCAGGGTGCTCAGGGCTCCCCCACCTATGCCTGCTGCTATTCTACAACCCCCACGCACATTTCCAGGACCCCAGGTTAGGCTTTCTCCTGCCCTTGCGTGGCCAACAGCACCCAGACTTTGGCCGAAGCTGACCCCTCCTCCCCTGCCAGTGGTGCCGCCTCACTGATCCAGCCTGTGTCCCGAGCCAGACACCCGTGTCTTGCTGGACTCCCTCTCCCCCTCCTGCCTCACCTCAGCAACAACAAATCCTGGTCATTTGCCTCCTAAAGATGTCTTCAGGCTCCCCGTCCCCCCAAACCGTTGCATTTGTTTCCTAACTGGTTCCTTCCTCTCCCTCCCTCTAATCTCCCTCTTTCCTGTGAATTTTGCAAAAGCTTTTAAAATGCAAATCTGACTATACTCACCAGCTCCCTTAAAACTCTTCAAAGGTTCCTCATAACAAGGGTCCCAACCCTATGAACTGACACACAAGACCTTCCATCATCTGGTCCCCAGCAGCCCCTCCTCCCCCTGTGCTCAGAACAGCAAACTGCTGCCGTCATAGCCTCTGGACCTCTGGTCATTCAGTGCCCCCTGCCAGGAACACTCTTACTCACAGCTTGGCATCACCTCCTCCAGGAAGCCACCTCCGACCCTCCCCCTGCCCCCGGCTTCCTTGGTGCCTCCATAATGCCTTGTTCAGGGATCTGTTATTCCACTCACCACACTCAGTTATAATTATCGATTTTCATGTCTCTGTTCCCCACCAGCCGATGAGATCCTTGAGGGCAGGGACGGTGTCCCATTCATCTCTATCTCAGCCCCTGGCCTGGCGCCTGGCACTGAGGACAGGCTCGGACAGTGGTGGATGGATAAATGCAGAGGGGAAACTTGAACGAAGGAAGTGAGAGCCAGGAATGGCCAAGAGGGGAGCGAGGGCAGGCCAGGCAGCCGGAGCAAATGTGTGGGAAGTGGGAAAGCGAGAACTTCCATTTATTGCACTCCTACGACTGCCGCCAGCCATTGTGCCTGCGCTTTGTTTGCACATTTTGTCTCCTTTCGTTCTTGCAACAGCAGATCAGGAAACGGGCATCAGAGAACCAAACTAACCTGCCCAAGGTCACACAGCCAGGTCTGGAGTAGAATCTAGGACTGTCTGGCCTGAAAACCTGTGCTCTTTCTTCGGGACCACACTGCTCTCCTGGGGACAGGACCGTCCGGAAATGGACAAAGAGTGGGCCCAGCTACACCTCTGCCTAGCTGAGCACTGGAACCAGCTGCCCACGCTCAGGCCAACAGCTTCTGCCTCCCAGCCAGACCAGAGGCTCAGAGGCCAGCCAAAGATTTACCTGTTCCTTCCTCCCCTGGCTTTGGGGGTCTTTGATTAGATATGCACACTCCCCCACCACCACCAGGGAAGACCCGCTGCACCTTATTGTGGCCCAGGGTGCCGGGGGACGCAGGGGGCTCTGTGATGCTGTCTGGGCTCTGCAGAATCTGTCTCCCTCATCGCACTTGGCCCAGACTGATATTAAGATTCATCTGCATTCCCCGCGCACCCGCCTGGCAGATGGTGGGGGAGGAGGCTGGGTGCGTGCTGGGGTTGCAGCCAGGGACCAAGCTGGCCTCGGAGGGCCAGAGAGCAGAGTGCCCACCCACCATGCCCCATGGGCCCAGCCCCGGGCTGGGGCAACTCCAAATACTGGGGTACCTTCTCACCTTCACAGCCTCCAAGGGGTGCTAGGACTTGACCTTTTATTTTTCTAAAGACTAAAAGGGCCCTGGAATTCCAGGAAGGAGACCTGGAGGCACAGAGCGGGGGTGATGGAGGATGGGCCCCCATCTTTGGGAATCTCAGATCAGGGTCTTGTTCTTCCTCCTTGCCTTGGAGTTTTGTTGCAGAGACCAGAGATAACCAGGGACCACACTGGGACAGGAGCCCCTCTCAGCCTGGCGACCCTCTGAGTCACAGGGAGGGTAGTGGTGAAGAATGAAGGGATGGCCTCCAGGGAGACCTTGCCCACCTCAGTCCCCAATTTCTCAGGGGCTTACCCGTGCCCCCGGCCCCAGAATCCAGCCTGGCCATAGCTGCCTTTTCAGTCCAGGGCCCCAGCCAAAGATTCCTGTCACAGTTACTGGACTGAGAAGGTCCAGGGATTATCCTAGCCCCTCTGAGGAAAGTAGAAGAGGAAGGAATGGACACGATAACAAAAGGAGTTCAGGCTAGACACCTAGAAGAACTTCCCTCAGCACAGAAGCAAGTCTCGCAGAGAGACAGTGGACTCGCAACCGTGGGGATAGGTTACAATGGGGATAGGTTACAATAGGGATATGTCCTTTTTTGGCCCTTGGAATGAGTTTGGAAAAAATGATCTCCAGGACTCCTGAGGTTGGGGGTAGGGCAGCAGAGTCTCGCTCGCTGCGTGGGAACAGGCACCCTGCCAGAGGGGTGGAAAGAGTAGGGTCCCTATACCCTGGCCATCACCCTGTCCCTTCCTCTCCAGGAGTTACTCCGCCCCGGCGTTCTACCCCGTTCGGCCTGAGAGCCAGCGTCCAAGGTCCCCGGGCTGCGGGCCGGCAGGGGAGGAGTTAACTCCGGAGGTACCGACTGGGCTCACTGTACCTGCTGCCGCCGCCGCCGCCGCCGCCGGTGGGAGGGACAAGGAAGCAGGAGCCGCCTGGGCGCCAGGAGCGCTCCAGTCTGGCGGGGTGCAGCGCGGGGAGCGGGCGGCCGGGCTCAGCGTGGCCCGGGGCGTCCGCCAGGGGGCGCGCCGCGAAGGGGCGGGAGGGGCAGTCTGGTCTGGGGAATTAGCACCAAGGTCGGGCGCGCGCGCAGGTCCCCAGCACATCTGGAAGAGAGCGGCGCGGCTGGAACCAAGGGGGCGCCGAGCGCATAACTGGAGCAGCGGAGCTAAGGCGCAGTTGGGCCCCTTCGAGACGCTCGGGGCGCACATCTGGGACCTCGAGCGGGGGCCGCGCCGCGCGCAGCTGGACCAGGGGAGGGGGGCGGCGGCTGCACAGCTGGACCGAAGGGGGCGGGGTCGGTCCTGGACAACTGGCTGAGGGAGGGCCGCGAGCCGCCGAGGACTGGAGCATGGGACGGCGCGCCTGAAGGAGCAGGAAGGAGAGGAAGGGGCCTGGGACCCCGAAAGGAAAAGAGGCGAGAAAGGGGGACGTGAGCAGAGGAGGAAGATGCAACTGACTCGCTGCTGCTTCGTGTTCCTGGTACAGGGCAGCCTCTATCTGGTGAGTGGTCCGCGGGGAGCTGCGCAGAGGGGCGGGGGCCCGCAGGATCCGGGGAGAGCGCGGGAAGCTTCCGAGCCCTGAAACTTTCTCCCTTCCCCCGACATCCCAGGGATGGAGGGGAAGACTGGAGGCTGGGGGAGAGGGCGGGTCCGAGGCCGGAGACCGGACAGAAAGGGTTAATAGGGGCGGGGAGAGGGTGCTGCGCCGGCCCACCCACTCCGCGGCTGGTGGCTGGAGGTGCTACAAGCGCGAGAGAAAAGGCCGGGAGCCGGGTCGCCAAGGGTTACCCGACCCCTTCCCGGGATCCCCGGACCCTGGGAGGGGGTGGGGGGTGGGGAGTGGGTTGTGGCGCTGGTGACCTGCCAGGCCAGGGGGCGTGGGCTTTTCCCCTGATCTCCTGGACCCAGAGAGCCCTGGGCTCTGGGTCCCCAGCACGCGGAGCCGGTCCAGGCGGGGGGCGGCCCCCGCGTCCCTCCTTCCCGCTCCCGCCCGCTCCCTCCCTCCCGCCTGTTGTTTTCCTCTCCTCTCCCGGCTGCGCGCAGCCCGAGCCCCACAGGACCTGGGCAGGCGGCTCCCGCCCCGGGCGCTCGCAGCAGCTGAGCGGAGCGCCCAGAGCCCGCTCCCCGTGCGCCGCTCAGGGCTTCCCGGAGGCCCAGGACGCCGGCGGACCCCAGCCCCGACCCCAGCCCAGGGCTTGACTCCTCTCCGACCGAGCGCCTGCCGGCCCTCGCCCCAATCCTGCCGCGGAGAAGCCTCGGCCCACATCTGGATCTGCCCCTTCCTTACATCCACAGTCCCCCTGCCACCACCCTTATTCCACTGCTGGCGGAGACCTTCCCTTCTCACGGCCACACCTGTGGCCCCGTTCTCTATCCTCTGCCACTCAGCTGTGACCCCCAGCACCAAGTGCACACAGGTCTGCAGCCCTGAACCCAGCCCCCAGGAGCCTCCCCTCCTGGCTGTCCCTCTACCCCACCCCTGGGGCCAGGCAGGGCCAGGCTTGACTGTGGGGCGGAGATGGGCTTGGCCACAGCGCACAGTTGCAGGCGCCGCCAAAAACAGGGAACATGAAGACCCCAAAACCCCTTGGAGCCTTCCCCTCCCCAACCCAGGGTCACCACCAAATCCAGATGCTGCCCAGATGAGCTGGGGAACTCTCTTCCAAAAGCTGAGCACACACAGGCCCAGTCTCTGCCCCCAGGAAGCCTTGTAAACTCCCCGATGCCCCACAGATGCCACCCCCCCCCCAGCGCAGCACCTCTGGCAAGCCTCCCCCAGGTGTGGCCTGTCGCCATAGCTGATCCAGCAGAGGCAGGACAAGCTTTGGCAGATTCCCAGTGGGGACAGGGCCTGGATAAAACCCTTAAAAAAAATGCACATCTGGTCTGTGAAGTTGGGAGTGTGGGGTGTAATGGGAGGGCTGACCCTACGTGACCTTAGCCTTATAGCATTGTAACCTCTGAGCCCTGTGTCCTTATCTGTGAAATGGGAATAATAACTCCCACCTCCTAATGCAAGTAACGTCTTGGCATGTCATCATCAGTGTTCCCCAGAGAAGTGTTTGGTTTTCCATAGCTTTGGCCATCCCAGGTGTGGCACTCACTCCGGGTCTTCTCTGGTCCTCCTGCAAAACCTAAACCGCAATTGTACTGGAGAATTTCACTGGGTTCTGTTTTCTTGTTCCATTGTCTGTTGGTTCTTTTTGCATCTGAGGGTAGAAATGATCCTAGGGTAGGGATGGTGTCTCACCCAATAGACTAGGAAGTCCCCAAAAGCAGGGCTGGCCTCTCCTGTCAAACTGGGGACTCTCCCAGAGTAGGAACCAAGCTCCCCTATCTGACTCAGGGCTCTTTGAGGGCAGAGATTATGCCTCTCCGTTTCACAGAGCAGGGACTCTGCCTCCCCTACCAGAAGGGGGGCTCTGTCGGCACAGGGGTGATGCTTCTGCCACCAGATGGGGGCTCTCACAAAATCAGGAGCTGGGCTTCCCCCATCAAATTGGGGATCCCATAGGGTTAGGGGCATTGTCCACGGTGCCATAGTCCACTGGAGAGAATTCTTGACTATCCTTCAGACTTTGAATAGTGGCCAGAGATAGGACAGTGAGGAGAGGACACGGGGCTGACCTGAGTGTCAGAACATGAGATGGGACCACGACACAAGCTAGAGTGTACACGTGACCCCCAGCATAAGTGGACAACATTCAGGGGTCCCTCTGCCCCCAGTCAGAGTGGAAGGGACAGGGCCAGAGATGAGGCTGGTGGTGGTGGGTGGGGGGCCAGAGTTCCTGGGTTCTCTGGGGACAGGGCTCTCACTCTCCTCCCAACTCCTTCTCTAGGTCATCTGTGGCCAGGATGACGGTCCCCCCGGCTCAGAGGACTCTGAGCATGATGACCATGAGGGCCAGCCCCGGCCCCGGGTGCCTCGGAAGCGGGGCCACATCTCACCTAAGTCCCGCCCCATGGCCAATTCCACTCTCCTAGGGCTGCTGGCTCCACCTGGGGAGGCTTGGGGGGTCCTTGGGCAGCCCCCCAACCGCCCAAACCACAGCCCCTCACCCTCAGCCAAGGTGAAGAAAATCTTTGGCTGGGGTGACTTCTACTCTAACATCAAGACGGTGGCCCTGAACCTGCTCGTCACAGGGAAGATTGTGGACCATGGCAATGGGACCTTCAGAGTCCACTTCCGACACAATGCCACAGGCCAGGGCAACATCTCCATCAGCCTCGTGCCCCCCAGTAAAGCTGTAGAGTTCCACCAGGAACAGCAGATCTTCATCGAAGCCAAGGCCTCCAAAATCTTCAACTGCCGGATGGAGTGGGAGAAGGTAGAACGGGGCCGCCGGACCTCGCTCTGCACCCACGACCCAGCCAAGATCTGCTCCCGAGACCACGCTCAGAGCTCAGCCATCTGGAGCTGCTCCCAGCCCTTCAAAGTCGTCTGCGTCTACATCGCCTTCTACAGCACAGACTATCGGCTGGTCCAGAAGGTGTGCCCAGATTACAACTACCATAGCGATACCCCCTACTACCCTTCTGGGTGACCCTGGGCAGGCCACGGAGGCCAGGCCAGGGCTGGAAGGACAGGGCTGCCCATGAAGGAGGCCATCTGTCTGGACACTGGGCAGGGAGGGGGGTGGAGAAGAGGAGATGCCAAATGGGGCCAGGACCAAGTCTCAAGTGGCAGGGAAGGGGGTCCCAAGTGCTGGCCCCAACCTGAGGCTGTGGAGCGACGGGAACACGGGCGCACTGGAGGACGAGTGGGTTCTCTGTGCAGCCTCCCAGGGCAGGCAGACCTGTGTGGCCCCAGATCAAGTCATGGGAGAAGCCTACACCCGTGGCCCCTGCCATCCTGAGAGAGGACATCGACAGGCAGCGGGGGGATTTCATCAGTGTGGACACCCTGTCACCTTAGGATGGCTGGCTGAGACAGGGCTTCCTGGGAGCTCTGCAGCCTGGCCCAGTGGGCAGCCCAGAGCCCCTTGTCCTGCACTGAGCACAGCATGAGTGGTGACCCTTGGAGTCTTTGATGTCTTGGCAAATAGACCATGTGTCTCCAGCTAGGCCACCCCTTTCCAAAATTCCCTCTCCCGGCAGCACCCCCCACTGCACCCACCTTCTTGCTGATGGCACACCCGTCCTTACGCCGAGGCAGGATGGTGGAGTCCTCAGCGTTAAGCCCACAAGTGGAAGCCCATCTGTGTGCCGTGCGTCCCTCTTCTACCCCACCCCCCTGCTGGCTCCTCTGGGAGCTTCTTTGTCCCAGAGAGTGGTCCCTCAACAGTCAGCCTCACCTGGGAGCCTGCGGCGCTCTCTCAGCCCAGCCGTGGGGCCAGCAGCAGGGGACAGAGCAAGGCTTGACTCTGTGTGGTCTGTTCCGTGTGTCTGTCTGTGGGTGGGGGGAGGGGCGGGAAGTCTTGTGAAATCACCTGATTGCCGACTTCTGTGTGCAGAATCTTGTTCTCGGAGCAGGAAATAAAGCTTGCCCCCTGGCGCCAGACTCCGACTTGTCCCCTAGGGAAAGGGCCCCGGCACCCCTCTGTCCAGCCAGCATTCCTCAGATGGCTATAGGACATTTGCTGGGGCCCAGAGCAGCAGGACTCTGATGGCCCTTGGAGCCAGCCAGGGCTCAGTGAAGGCCTCAGCGTGCTCCTCTCCAGCCCTGTGTCCAGGCTCTGTGATCAGCACCGGGGACCCGAGTGCTTGGTGTGTGGGGGTCCGGGGGAGGCATCTGCGAGAGCAGCTCAGGGAGGAGGAGCTAGTGGGTGGGACAGGCCAGATGAGGGTGTCCCTTGGTGCCAAGTGGGGTCCTAGCTCTGTCATTATTTTCCCACGTGACCTTGGCCACGTCCATCTTCCTCTCTAGCTTTCTTTCTGTTTCTTCCTCTGTGACACGCGGGCCTTGCCCAGCCTGGTGGTTCTCGAACGTGAGTGAGCATCTGAACCACCTAGAGCGGTTGTTAAAACAGATTTCTGGGTCCTACGTCAGAGTTGCTGATTCCGTAGGTCTGGGTGGGGGCCTAAGATTTTGCGATTCCAGTGAGTGCCCACGTCTGCGCTGCTGCTGCACAAGGACACGCTGTGAGAACCACCCACATGGCCTTAGAGGTACGATGAGGAGACACCTCTGACGCTCTCTCCCGGCTGTCATTTCCATCTCCTTCTCCTGGGGAAGCGTCCTTGCAGAGAATCCGGGGTACTGGGTTTTCAATCTGAAAACAAGCCAGCGAAGGCACAGGCTGGGGTGGAGCGGGGCAGCCCTCCCCTGCCCCCAGCGGGGGGATGGCCTCAGGGGGCTGCCCGGCTGCCTGGTCGGGAGTTAGCTGGGCCCATTAGGCCTCAGTGAAGGGAGGGCGGAAGCCCCCACTACCAAGGTCACAGTGCCCTCTCTGGAGGTCGCTCGTTCTAGGTCTGCTCTATCGGACAGTGAGGAGGGTCCTGGCAAGAGGGTAAGATGGTCTTGCCACTCCTCACCTTTCACCCTTTCCACCAGCGCTCAGCAGGGACAGTCCCCTCACACAGCGCAGCGCAGAGCTCAGCGGGGCTTAGTCACCACCTTGTTGCCACCCACCTTGTATGAAGTGACCCAGACAGGGCGAGTGACTCGAGCTCATGCTCCCCTCCCAGCTTCTTTCCCTGCACCGTGTTTCCCGGAGCAGCTGTCCTGGGCACAGACTGGAGACACACTGACCCCCTTCTCCCTGGGGACAGATGCTTGAGTCCAAGGAGACCCAGGGACTTGGGGTCTGCCATGGGAGGCCTGAAGCTGCTGGAATCTGGAGTGTTCTCCACCTGTGGACGCCCACCGGACGCATCCAGGAGCACCACCCGCAGCGCTGTGGGGACTGCAGCGAGGGAGGAGGGAACAGTGGGGCTGGTGGCCCTGGGTGCCCTCCCCTACCTGGCCTGGCTGAACTCTCAGCAGGGCCTGGAGGCACTCTGACCCACCCCTTCCTGCTCCTGTCCTCCTGTGGAGAGCCAGATGCTGCCGACAGCTGGAGGGCCCGGCCTGCCTGGCACACAGTTCTGCCGGCACAGGGGGTGGGTTCGTTTTAATAACTTCATTTCACCCTCATGCACACTCTGCCGCCTCATCCCTCGTCTTCTGCCTTCCGCAGTAACCTGACTGCTCTCCTCAGCTCGGGTTTTGCTAACTGATTCCTTCCCAAATATTAATTCTTAGAAATAGCCTCTGGTCCCTGCTATCCTCACCAAATACTCCCTGTGCCAAGGGTAAGGGGTCCATCCAGTTCCCTCTGGCTAGGAAGATACCCACCTCTGCCCCCTTGGCAGTGTGTCCAGGGTGTCCCTTGTGGAGATGGACCCCCAGCCACCGCCACGTGCTCTGACCTCCCACTCCTGCCACGATGCAAACACTCACAGGAGAGCAGACTCCTCGGAAGGAGCACCCCCACCCCCACCCCAGGAAAGGTCCAGGTCTACACTGCAACCTCCTGTCCCCCACCCTGCCATCCTTCAGGGCAGCCAGAAATCTCCTCAGGCTGTTTAGTGGTCCCGCAGTCCTGCTCCCCCATCCACTCAGCCCAGCTGGGGGGCTGCCCCCTGGGCAGGGGCCTTGTCCCCTCCCTCAGAGCGGAGCCTCGGGGACAAGCCTACCAGGCTGGGGGCTCTCTGAGGAGCACCCGGGGCCAGGGTCCCTGCCTCCCTCATCAGACTGAGGACTCTCTGAGGGCAGGGGCTGGATGGCCCCTCAGACCCGGGGTCTCTGAGGGCAGAGAAGGGGGAACACCTGGAGGCTGCTCTGCCCTTCAGCTTTGCAGGAAGGTGCTGTCTGGGCCTGTGTGTTCCCGTCTCCGAGGGAGTGAACCTTCCTCGCAGTCTGTGACATTACTAGGAGGGACACAGGTTAGGGCAGCTGGCGGCAATGCTGACTCAGGCTTTCGGTGAAGCTGAAGGCAGAATCGAACAGGAGTCTAGGTCCCCGCCCCCCACTATTCTCCTTCCCTGGGATGAGCAAGCGGGAACTGAGTCACCCCTTCCCCATCCTTGGCAGCAATGCCAGTGACCTTGCGTGTGGCAGACTCCGGGAGTGAGGCCATTGCTCAGAGATGCGCAAGGTGGGTGGGTGGGTAGGGAAGCTGGGGGGGTGTGTTTGTGGGGGTGGAGGCAGCTGAAGGCAGGGGGTGACCAGGGACCTGGGTCATTGAGTGGGTAGCGGGGCTGTGGGAGACACGATGAACCGGTTGCTCTGTGTTGGGAAGTGATCTGATGTCATGGCTGGGAGTGGGAGAGAGAAATGTTATTTCCAAAGACTCTGAGTCCTGTGGTCCTGCCAGGAGAACCGGGGGCTGGGGGGACAGCTGAGGAGAGGCACCACCATCCCCACCAGGCAGAGGCAAGATGGGGTGGGGGCAGCACCTGCTGATCATGTCAAAGTCCTGGAGTGGCAGCTGACATCAGCAGGGCACAAATGCCAGAGGAGACCTGGCACTCACCACTTGGGGGCTGGGTTCTGGTTCCACAGGGATCCTGTTTCCTGTTGGCCTGCCGAGCTCAAAGGCTGACCTGATAATAATTCAAGGGAAGGATGTCGAGTTCAGGCCTCCCAGTTCTTCACGGTGGCACCTGGCTAGGTGGTGCCAAGGGACAAGCTGGCTCCTTCTGAACCACAGAGGCTGCCAACGAACTGGCAACACGGGTGTTGCAGGAAGATGTATCTGGGTCCTCATCCTGGGTCTGTAATTTATTAGATGGGTGGCTTTGGACAAATGAAATAATCTCGCAGAGCCTCCTTACGTAAAGAACTAGCTACCTTGGTGCACTGTTGGGAAAATGAAATGGGTTGCCACCAAAATGTTACCTCTTCCTTCCTTTGTCTTTGGAGATGAATTTACATGGACTTCAGCCTTACACCTGGTGTGGATAGATGGAAGGCCCCAGGCTGGAGGTAGACCTGGGTTCCCGTACTGCTTCCGCCCCATGATGCATGTGGCAGAGACCACTAATTGTCCCATAATATCCATTTCTCCTTTCTCCCTAGTAATGGGATCCTCGATTTTTAGCTGGGCATATGGTTGCCTGAAATAAATACTACATTTCTCTGCCTTCCTTGCACCTAGATATGGTCATATGACTAAGATCTGGCCAGTGACATTTAAACCAAAGGATTATATGGCAACTTCCAGAAATCTTAAGACAGTTGATATACACCCCCTCCCCCTTCTTTGTTCCACCCTCCATCCTGCTGCCTGGAATATGAATGTGATTGCTGGAGCTCTAGCTGCCATCGTAAACCATGGGGATAAGAGCCACACCCTAGAAGTGGCAGAGCAGCGAGCTGGAAGAAGTCTTGGTCTTTGTGGAATAGAAATACCATACCAGCCCTAGGCTACCTACCTTCGGATTTTATGAGAAAAATCAAACATCTTCCTTATTTGAGCCACTGTTCTTTGGGTCTCCAGTTCTTGCAGTTAATTCTAGCTCCGCCTGATTCAATGGATGTGTTTGATCACTTCACTCCCGTGGGCCTCAGCTTCCTCGACGGTAGGACTGAGACAATGCTCACGTATCTTGCCACACACCAGAGAGGTTTCATAGACTCATAGACAAGAGTGAACTTGGGAAAGCTCTA